ACCCCATCAATAGTTTCAGGAGATTTTTTAAAAGTGCATTAGCCATTTGGACCCCCGTTGTACCAGTCAACTTGAGAAGGGGAATTAGAAGAGAGGAAAGGAAGGAATTTGATGGATTTGATGCTGAGTAAGATAGGATTGGTGAGCAGAGGGGATTTACAGTATCTCCTTCCTGCTCCTCTGCTCATTTACCACGTTTTAAAGCTTTTGGCACCAGAGAACGATGGGGCCATTTGTCTCTAAGGAAGGGCCTGCCTCTTTGCCCTCCTCCTCTCCGCCTTTCGCAATTCAGACTTTCGAGCTGTTGCCAAGGGGCATTTCAGCCGATCACAAAGCACGATCCACTTCATCGGGAGATCAGCCTTGTCTTACTTGCCTACAATGCTGCTAGTTTTTATATTTGCTCAAGTATCTCCTCTCCCGCCTCTGACCACTGGCACCACTCTCTGTCTTGCTGGCTCATCCTCGCCCATTTTTTCCTTGGCCCCTAGACCAACCCACTCCCCCCCTGGCCTTTGCCCCCAAGGTCAAGACTCGCAGCACTGTGAACACAGCCTCTTTCCAACCACCACAAGGCTCTGGTCGTTCGGCTGGATGTTTTTTTTAACGAACAAAAATCCACCCAATGCTCGTTTGCTGCTTGGGTTTTTTTTTTACACGCCCTTTAAAACTCTGCACTCCGTCCCCAGCATCTGTTTTTCTCCCCTTGAAACGTGCCGGGCTGTCGGGATAAAGTTCACAATCCCAAGCCAATCTCGGTGGTTCTGAGATTTCAGAATCTCCGAAGCCATACTGCAGGATGCTAAGCTACCTTTCCAACCGCGAAGGGGGCTGGCGGGTTTTTCCTACTGAACAAAGGAACGCCCTTCTCTTTTTCTCACCCAGCCTAGTTCTCTAGGGATGAACGTTGAAAAACGGGAGTGGGAGAGGGTGTCCCAGTGGATTGCGTCTCTGCTGTGTCTCGTCCGATCATCCACGTCTCAGTCCGTCGTGTAAAAAAAGACTCCGCCAAAATTGCCAAGAGAACCGCGCTGTCTGGGACTGACCATGGTCCCTTCCGCCTCTCCTCTGCACAGAGTCTGTGAGCCAAGACACAACCCGACACTTGTACGTTTGCAAACTCTAAAGGAAAGACCCCGTCTCGCGTCTCTGTGTGCGTGTGTAAGAAAAAGTCAGTGTAAGTCAGGGTTTTTCAGACTTGGCCACTTTAAGATGGGCGGACCTCAACCTTTATTTACCATCAGTATCTTGGAAGACCTGATTTATGTATGAATGTGGTTTTTTATTGTATTTTAATGAATATTTATTCTTGTTTTAATATAAAGCGCCCAGAGTCGCTCTTGAGTGAGATGGGCGGTGACTAAATTTGAAATAAAAATAAATATATAAATAAATAAACTCCCAGAATTCCCCAGCCAGTTGGCTGGGGAGTTCTGGGAGTTGAAATCCACCCATCTTAAAGTGGCCAAGTTTGAAAAAAACTGATGTAAGTGGACGGGAGTGGGGAAGAAAGAAATCTCTGTACAGTGAAGGTAAATTTTCTGTAAAGAAAGAGGGTCTTAAAGGAATGTATTAATATTTCAAAATCTAGCTGCCTTTCCCTCCCCACCTTCCCTTTAGTCATTTCACACTAAGGAAGAGTCTAACAGCCCAAGTTTAAGATCATGGTCAAAAAGATGCTCAATGCTACCTCATCAGTCCAAAGATGAACTGGGGAACTGATTGGCATCTTTGCCTCAATCTTGTGTCATTCCTTCCAGCCACTCTCCCTGTTTGGTTTCCACCTTGATGGTTTTCTCTTTGGAGAGAAAGAAAAGGAACTTAGTCAACTTTTCTGGCCATTGCAGTGATGTTGGAGGATCCATTGAGTGAGGATAAGGGGACCAGAAAGGGGCCTTGTGTGTTTGTGTACACCCCTCCCTTCTGTACAGCGTTGTGTTGAAAATGGTCCAACTGACTGTCTGGTGTTCAGGAAAGAGGAGCAGTAGATCCATTTGAAAGCAAGGGGAGTGCCTTCCTCTGGAATCAATTTGGAAGCAGGGAACAGCGGTGTGAAGGCAAATTAGCCAGCGTTCCTGCAACCCATTTTGCAAATGCAAAGGTTTTATGGAACCCAACATGGGCTATTTTCCCCCCAAACTAGAAGATAAATTATTGGGTCTTGCCCCCCAAGCTTTGAAAGGTTGCCCCAAGTTGTACCTTAAGATCTTTGACCTTTGTAGATCAATAAGGAAAATGACCTTATTGGACTTGGGATTCTTCCACTAAGAACGTTTCTGATGGGGCTTCATGTACCCATTTCACCTTTTCCTCCTCAAGAGAGGTTTTTTGGGGGGGAAAGAAGAAAAAGTTGCACACTGCAGGGAGAAAACACAGAACGGTGGTAGCTGGAGGACAGGGTTTAGATAGTCCCCTGTGGTGGAGAGCCGAAATTCCTCCAGTCGGTGTAAATGGGGGTTTGGTTAGACAGAACTGCTGTAGCCCCTCGTAGGCTTGTTTGGCTGTGTGGACACGAGGCAAGCGTTTCTGAACCCTCCCGTGGGTGTAGGCCCTGATTTTTCAATCAGTGATGCTGATTTCTGGAGGGTAGCAGATTGGGAACATGAGGGGCACTCTTCAAAATGCTTGGGCTCCAATTTTCTGTGCTTGTGGCATCCTTGCCCGTATATTGCAAATTAAATGGCTTGTAGATTGGGAGGCTGTGTTTGACCAAAGGAGTAGATGGGAATGTTTTTCTTGAACATATTCTGAAGTCCTGAATTTGTGTCCTTATAATATAGTACAGTGTTTCTCAACCTGCTGGCTGGGGAATTCTAGGAGTTGAAGTCCACACATCTTCAAACTGTCAAGGTTGAGAAACACTGGTATAGTATCACCCAAAACATCTCTAATTAGAAGCCATCTAGAATGCAGTGGTTTTCCATTCCCTCCCCATCCCAGTAAAAATATCTAGGATTTATTCCCCAGGGTACATGGGGCTCCCACCTGCCCCAGAATGAGAAACCTGGCAATTCTCATGCGTTGCCACCTCAAATGCCACAATGGCAGAAAGATAGGTTGTAAAGGTAGCAAACAAAGATGAGTGGTTTGATGGAAAGGAAGCCTACCTCCCCTTTTCAGCCAGGGCAGATTTCCCTGCCTTTTCAAACAGTAAAAGTTTCTGTTTGAAGAACGTTTACCGCGTCCTGCAGCGAAGCCAAGGAATGTTATCCAAGGAACTCTCAGGTTCTGCTCCTCCTGCCAGACTGATCTGATACTGCTTCACTAAGAGATGTCCCTCTTGTTCAATGTCTTTACCAGCACTGCAGTACAGGTAGTCCTCGCTTAACGACCACAAAAGGGACCAGAAGCGGGGCAGTTGTTAAGTGAGTCACACCCAATTTTACGACCTTTTTGCAGCAGTCATTAAGCAAACCACCATGGCCGTTAATCGAATCATGTGGTTCCCCATTGATTTTGCTTGCCAGAAGCCAGCTGGGAAGGTCACAAATGGCGATCACCTGACCCTGGGCCACTGCAACCATCATAAGTGCGAGCTGGTTGCCAAGTGCCCAGATTGTGATCACATGACTGGGGGGTGTTGCAACGGCTGTAAGTGCAAGGACCAGTTGTAAGTCCCTTTATTCAGCACCACTGTAACTTTGAATGGTCACTAAATGAATGGTTGTTAAGTGAGGACTACATGTATTCCTATTAGCTCCCAGGCCTCCTTTTCCTACCTGTTCTAATGTCATACTGGTAGTCCCTGGGTTAAGAATGCCCAGTTTAAGGATGACCCATAGTTAAGAACAGAGCCTACTGTAGCAAAATTCAAGTTAAATACACAATGATTCGAGTTAATTACACAATACTACTTATACAGTATTACACAATAATACTGTTCCAATTTACATACAAATTTGACTTAAGGACAGACCTTGGGAACGGAACTCATTCTTCAGCTGGGGACTACCTGCATTTAAAAATGTCCTGTTGGCACTGGAGAGGGAAAGATCTAAATGTTAAGGATACAGCTGGACTAGGGGAAGGCAGGGCAGGGAGGGGACAGAAGTATTCCAGGTAGAAATGCACAATTGGGACATTTGAGGGTCCAGCTCAGCCTGTTCCATCTTTTTTTGTTCCTGTGTTTGCGTGTGCATGATATCGTCAGTCGCCTTGCTGTTGTCGTACGTGACCACCATCTTTCCCCTGCCACCCGAGTGTGCGTTGTATCCAGTTACCAGTTGTATGTGAACCTCTAATTAAAGGAACTGGGAAGGTCTGCTCACCGTCTCTGTTTCTTTGCAAGGCCTGCCATGAACTGGATCGGAAGCCCCCAAGGCCCACTTTACCCAGCGTTCAAGCTCTATGTCAGCTAGAAGCTGTGCCCAGGTTTTGCCCAGCGGGCATCGACTTCCACTGGCACTCCCTAGATTTTTTAGAAAGTAGCAGCCTCCCACCTAACCCTTCCATTATGCCCTGGCACTTAGCCAGACCACTCTATGGGACTTCTCCATCAACGTTCTCCATCAAACCAGGGGATTTACGGCCACCACTGACAGCCGTCCATTAAAAGAGGGTTCCGAAGGAGAAAACATTGCATGACAAAATGGTTGGCCTGACAAAATGGCTTGAGAGAGGCTACACGGCTTAGCCAAAAGCTTGAAAATATAAAACATGTTCCCGCAGGACAGAGCTTCTGTCTTGATCGTCTCCTGCATCAAAATGCTAGATGCTAGAAGGCAGGCAATCCCTCGTCTTCCTGGATGGATCCTAGCTGGCCCCTGAATGCGGCCCAGAGGATATTGGCCTAATCCTGCTGGCTGGGAATTCTGGAGCCCAACGGATGGATATGACTCTCGTAGCTCTGCAAGAATAACCACGTGCCTTGCGTAATCATAATCCAAGAACCAATTAATTTGCAAAAAGGAAGGAGGAGCTGCAGTGGCAACTAGAATGAATTAGGGTGGGTTTCAGACAAGAGAAGTATCTTTGTTTTAAACACCCAGGTTGCCCAGCTAATATTATCCCATTGCAGTCTCTTGGAAACTTGGGTTATTTGTAAGGATCTAGAGCAGTGTTTCTCAACCTTGGCAACTTGAAGATGGGTGGACTTCAACTCCCAGAATTCCCCAGCCAGAATTCCCCCCCGCCAACCCACAGACTTGCTCGGGCGGGGAGTTCTGGGGGTGGTAGTCCCCCCCCCTCTCCGCTGCGAGGGGTTGAA